CCAAAGTTCCTGTAGATCCTGCACGTTACGGCCAGTTCTACGGTGGGGACAGTTATATCATCTTGTACAATTACAGACATGGGAACAAGCAGGGGAAAATCATTTATACTTGGTAAGACAGCTTCTACTTGAAGTGTGGGTGTTGGCAAAAGGAGAGGAACAAAGGTGCTTGACAAACTTTTGTCTCTGGGCATAACTGATCTGTGGACTCTCACTTGGATTCCGCCAGGTTCCTGCTCCTTCTCATTTTAAAACAGGAATGCTACTAATTAAACAGTAAAGCTGGCCTGCTTTATTTCCAAGAATGTCTCTGCAGCAGCCCTTCCTAAACAATTGTTAGAAAATAAAAACGATGGGTGGTTGCAATGTGAGGTTTGGGTTAGAAGGATATCCCACCAGCCCAAGGAAAGAAGCATGAATGCAAAAACTATCTTAGTTACGTTCACCTACCAACAAACCCTTTCACCTTCAAAGCAAGAATTGGTCTTGGAATTCAAACATATTTTGTAAGGCCTGAGAGAGAGTCCCGCTCTACACATTTGCAAGTTTCCTCTCTTTTTCTCAGGCAGGGTGCAGATTCCACCCAAGATGAGATTACAACCTCCGCTTTCCTTACTGTCCAACTGGATGAACAGCTGGGAGGCACTGCAGTGCAGGTACAACAAACCTTATGCTTTTCAGAGTGGGCAGCTTGGGATGATAGAATTGTAGAGCTGAAAGTGACTGCAAGGATCACCTGGACCCATGTGGAGGAAAACCCCTGGGGAGATGGGCGCCATACAAATTTAATAATACATAAATAAATAAAATAAAAACCAGTGAAGCCATCCATGAGATGAAGCCACATGAAATGCCCAAGCTGGGAAAGGAACAAGATGCAGAATGAACGCTTGATACCCAGAGCTTCTGCAGCCCTCTGTGGTGAAGAGAAGATGAAGAAAGATGTGTGGGATCATCTTGGGCTCATGCTGTCTTAAGTACAGTGGGTGCATATTCAAACAGATCCAAGGCTTCCATTCAAACATGAGTAAGACGACGGGGAAATCTGAAAGATGAACAGTTATTCCCCAGAGATCTGTCCGTTTCAGCTTGGAAAACAAGACTGAAAGTTGATATTCTTAGGCGAAAGAAACAGGGAAACAGAAAATGAATTGAAAATGATCACCTGCCATCTTTTTAGTCATTGCTTTGGCTGTAAGATAGATTGTTAATCTGCTGTAACTCCCAGCTTGATAAATGCACACTCCCCCCAAGGACTGTTTTCGTGGCATTCTGCTTCCCAGACATTTCTTATTTTGCAGACTGACCCTGGTTCTTTTATTGACAGAAACGAGTTGTCCAGGGCAAAGAGCCTCCTCACCTTATGAGTATGTTTAATGGGAAGCCACTGATTGTGTACCAAGGTGGCACCTCCAGGGAAGGTGGTCAGACAAGCCCAGCAGCGACACGGCTCTTCCAAGTCCGCTCCAGCACTTCTGGTGCAACCCGAGCTGTTGAGGTACGTGACTTGAAACAGGGAGTTTGTGGATGAGAAAGACCAGAAATCAATAAAATAGAGCCATACATTTCTGGAGGGTGCTGAATTGAGGAAGGCTGTTTTTTTAAAATTTTCTTTCATTTCCAAAATGGCACCCATCTTGCTTCTGAGTCTTGGGAAGAGTTAATCCCAGGCTATGTCATGTTCATGTTTTTACAGATCAGCCCAGCTGCAAAAGAACTGAACTCCAATGATGTCTTTGTCTTGAAAACACCATCTACTGCTTATCTCTGGGTGGGCCAGGGAGCTAGCAACAGTGAAAAGGCAGGAGCCCAGGAGCTGTTGAAAGTTTTGGGAGTGCAGGCAACTCAGGTTGCTGAAGGCACAGAACCAGGTTTGCAATGCAGTTCTGGAATTAAAGGTCGGGTTCACACATCGTGCTAAAGCAGAAGGTGGTTCCTTTGGTCCTGGTTCAGCATAATGTGTGAAACCGCTTCCAACGGGTTAGGGGGAAGGGCAAACCAGGCCCCCGGGGCTTGTTCAACAAACTACAGCTCAAAAAATGATGCTGGAAAAAGGTAATCATTTTTCTGCAATGCCTTGTTCAGTTGGGCCCATTGGCTCTTGGTGACCCCCAACATTTTTGGTCTAGAGACCCTTTCAGAAAGAACACTTTAAACACTGGCCTGTTTCCTACTGCATAATGTTTTTATTGCCTACAAATCTCTTTCATGGAAAAAAGGCAACGTGCCTCCAGTTCAATACACATGGGAGGACCCTTATCTTTTACCCCAAGTCCACCTTTCTCTCGGGTGGACACTGAGCTGTCCTCAATACCATGAAAAGAAGCATTGATGAGAGAGCATCACTCAGACTCCAGGTCTATTTTGCAGGAAGTTTCTGGGATGCTCTTGGTGGGAGAGCCACCTACCGCACTTCCCCGCGGCTGAAGGATAAGAAGATGGACGCCCACCCCCCTCGCCTCTTTGCCTGCTCCAACAAGAGTGGACGCTTCACTGTGAGTACCTGAAGCTAACTTGGTTGGCAAGTTAAAGCAGAACTCTCTACACATGCATCATTCTGCAAACACTAGACTACAGATGGGCCACTTTGCAGGATTTAAACTTACTTGCCACCCACCCAACAGTGGTAATAGGCATCATCAGTGGAAGAGTCTTGAGGTCACAAGAATGGGCAGGGCTGATTTTTGGCACATGGTTTATGTTTTCCATTTTTTAAAGAGTTTTGCTACTTGAGAGGCATTTCTTCCAAGCCTTGATAGCCAAATGGTTCAATTTTGATGCAACTGGGCCTGTTAGGGGAGGATGAGCTGTGGAAACTGGAACCTCCCACCTCAACAAAGCTTCTTCCTGACATTTTCATCTTTGAGACAAACAAAAATCACACCAACCAAATTTGGCTATTTTGGTGATCCTAGATGTGGTTCACAGGTTGTCTCTACTGCATTAGCCCTCCTAAATTCAACTGAAAAGCAGAGGAGGGGGGTTGGAAAAGTCTGGGTACTCCCTTGAGGCAGATGGTTGGGATTCCTTTTTGAATAGAGAAGTCATTCATTGCCACAAGGATGATGCTTGTCCCCAATGTAGACAAATTTAAGAGGACCAAAGTGATGGAGAAGGTTAGCCAAGGCCCCTAGTCTTGATAGCTGTGTACTAGCTCCAAAATTAACAAAAAGTAGTCTTGAAATAATGGTTGCATCTTTGAATTTCTCAGAAGCATTTGGCCATTAAAGAAGACTACGTGTTGGATGGGATGGGGACTTCTCTGGTTTTACTCTAGGCATAGCCAAAAGAGAACTTGCCGCTTAGAGTCCACTGGAGTTGGACGGCCAATACATTTAAATAAATAAATAAAGTTTAAAAACTCAAGAGAATTCAGACATGGACCTGACTTCTAACTATCTGACTTCACTTGGGAAGATTCTACTACTGGGACCACCTTCCAGGTTTTCTTCAGATAACTAGATCCCTTAATGTTATTGTTTTAAATATATTTTTAATTTCAAATTTCTTAAGATTGAAGAAGTGCCTGGAGAGTTGACTCAAGAGGACTTGGCAACAGATGACGTAATGCTTTTAGATACCTGGGACCAGGTACGTACCCCACTCATTAATAAATGGAACTTTCACTGCTCTGTACCATAAAATCATCTACTATTCTACAAGAAATGTAACATCAAAGGACCACAATGTTGCCTTTCTTAAAATGCTAATAGCCATCAGACAATAGCTAACCTACTTTCTGGATCTGTGCAATGTCAAAGCAGCATGCAATCAGAGAATAAATAAAACATGAATACCATTCTCAAAAACACTTTTAAAAAAAATTGAAATCTTGGTAACCGAACACCAAATCAATGTCTATTTCTATTCTTAAATGTAGAATTAATGTGTTGTTGTTTAAAAATAATTACAGATATATCTCTAAAACCTATAAAATAATCATTGACGAAGTTCGACAGCACAATAAATACATTAGACAAAAGGTACCATTCAGACAGTTCTTTGTCAGGACTATAGTGAAATTCAGTGCAATCCTACTGCACTGGAGCTCAATTAAAGGGCGGTTCCAAACTGAAAATAGCCTAAATAAAACAATATTAAAATATAAATAAGGGAATCAAACTTTTTTTCAATGTCTAACCCCCTTTTTGACCTTATCATGATTCACATTAAGACCTTTCTTTAATACGGTTCAGCAGACAACAGTGTTTTATGCAGAATGTTTTAAAAAGCCTGAATAAATAAAGCAAAGATATTGGCTTGGCATCAAGGAAATCTCTATGATAAGGACGGACCTGAACTGAGTTCTCCTAGATCCTAATCTAAGGGTTACTGCTAAAGGAGACTTACTGGAAGGGCTGGAGCAGAGATCTGGGGCTCTCCAAGGTCCTGAAAGGGCTGTCTAGCGTTCTTTTGTCAGCCCCTTCCATCATGCCTACCTTATAGAGCAGAATAACATGGAGATGATTCATGAAGAATTGAACATCCAAGGTGGTCATAATACATGAAGGACAGATGCTGATTTGGCTTATTGGTGTCTCTTTTTCTTAAAAGGTCTTTGTGTGGGTTGGAAAAGGTGCTCAAGAGGAGGAGAAGACAGAGTCCCAAACATCAGGTCAGTTGTTCACCCCTCAGCTTTTGTCATCATCCACCTCTTCACTATGATTTGTCAGCTCAAAATCTCAAATGTCATTATTTCTATGCCACATCTCCTGGTTGCATCTTTACAGCACGGAGATACATTGAGACTGACCCTGCCAACCGGGATCGGCGGACACCTATCACACTCATCCGGCAAGGATTTGAACCACCCACCTTCACTGGCTGGTTCCTGGGCTGGGAGGACGATTACTGGAACGTGGATCCTTTGGAGAGGGCCATAGCAGAGCTGTCTGGGTGAACAAAGGAATACCTACTTTTTTTTTTATTTGAAAGGAAAAAGTGTGCTGGCTCCAAAGAGCTGCTTCCAACTTCCAGCAGGCACTTTAAAAAAATATATATTAAAAATAGTTCAAGAAGCTGATCAGTAGCTGAGACCTGTCCATGAACTGTATCGTTTTGTCCCCCTGCTGCTTTGAAAAATGGCCTTTAATAAAGCTTGTATAGAATCAGTAAAAGGCTTGTCAATTTTGGGTAAGTTGGACCAGAAGTGCTGGGGATCACATCTTCCCAAAGTTCTCCTTGGTCTCCAAGCCATTCCCCCTTCCCATCTCAGGCTAAGATGCATGAATGTTGGACAAGAGAGATGAAAAATTCCCTCTGTGCAAGCTTGAAAGCCTTTTTTTCCATACAACACTAAGCCATAAACTGTGGTTTGCACACCACAACAGATGGAATCACACAACACGCTGAGCCTGATGCAAAGAAACCCACACTATGGTTCAGCATACTGCATGGATCAAATCTTTAGGGGAGAAGGGGTTCGAGCCCTTGACCTCTCTATGGTGAAAAGAAAAGATAAAAACCACATTAAATAACTAAGAAGGATTTTCTCCCCGTAAGAAAAGAAACAGAGGAGAAAAAGGCTAAACCCTCCCTTCATGCCTAATATCAGAAACTATCACCCATTATCCCTTTAGCTCAGCTGTTCCCAAACCAGATGATGTTCCCATTGTTTGGAATTCCAGACACCACCATCCCAACAACCCTGGAGTGCTTATGGCTGTTGGGTGTCATTTTGGCCCTCTCATATTCCCATAGTATAATGTTATAGCAGGTCTGGGAGAAGAGAAAGAAAGTTGGGCAAGTCAGTTCACCCATTTGATCTCTCCAGGAAAGACCTCTTGCCTCCTCCTTGACAAGGTTTGGGTTTCCCTTTGTGCAAATCAATCACCATACACTTAAAGAGAAGTAATGTAATTTTTGCCCATCCTGTTGTATGGTCCCGTGCCAGTTTATTCATCCAACCATCCAAACGTGGTTCTTAAGGCATCCTTTTGGCTAACAAGCTCCATTCCAGGAGCCACCTCAAGTGGTCATAAGCTCTTAACTCACCACCACAGGTGACCGACTGCCAAGATGATCTCTGTCTTCAAATTTTATTTGTGTTGGGGGGGAGGGAGAAAGATGTAAACAACATCAAACATTAAAAACAAACAGATAAATACATCCACCACTGTATCCTTCAATGTTGCCTTGGATTTTGAAGTGACCAATCACCAAAGCAGCATATGTTCTGCAGAAACAGCTTCTGCTGATTGCTTCATTCCAATACTTTTCCGCTTAGTTACGGGTAGCTAAAGATAATGGTGGAGTTCTGTTGGCCACTGTGGGCACCGTCTGGCTTCAAGTAATGAAGTTGGAGGGAGAGAGGAGATTCCTGAAGGAGGATAGAAGCTTCTTTCACTGGCTTAGGTTGTGGCATCACGTTCCTGGGTGCAACAACCTACGAGGAAGGAGACCACAGGTCTAGCAAGGCCTTTGGAGAAGCCCTTACAATGGTCAAAGCACTAGTTTTACCTGGCATTAACTTCTGTGATTCCCAAAGCTGCAGAGCCAAGTAACAAGGTCATTTTGATGTCTTAGAATCAGCGATATCTGGAAAGTGGTGAAACTGGACCAGGATTGGATTGTTTGAACAAGGGGTCAACCTAAAGAAATAACATTCTTCTAAGCAGGCTCAGTACGTGTAAGAGAAAGGCCTCTTTTGAGATGAGGTCCACCAATCATTGTCACCTGCTAAGGTTGAAAGGAACACAAACTACCTGTTACATATCTCCTTTTGCAGGGCTCATGTGTCCATTCTTCAGCCCATTCTAGCTTGTTGTAAGTCAACAGACCAAAACAAAGGTCTGACTTGCAGATTATGCTCAGATTCACAGCCTATACTGGTAGTCCTTGTTTAGTGACTGCAATTGGGACCAACTCGGTTAAGCAAAGCAGTCACTAAGTGAGACCGTGACTGTGCTTATGATCTTACTTCAGCTTTCCTTTGCTTTACAGACTTGTGAAGGTTGTAAATGTGAGGATTGGTTGCAAAGTTACTTTTTCATCCCTATAGTAACTGCAAACAGTTGCTAAACAAGGACCACCTGTACTTAGCTAAGTTACAACTGACTGGATCTGCCCCGCATATTGAGCACGAAACTCCCCACAGTTTTTAGGCATGGAGAACAGAAAGTGCTTATGATCTTACTTCAGCTTTCCTTTGCTTTACAGACTTGTGAAGGTTGTAAATGTGAGGATTGGTTGCAAAGTTACTTTTTCATCCCTATAGTAACTGCAAACAGTTGCTAAACAAGGACCACCTGTACTTAGCTAAGTTACAACTGACTGGATCTGCCCAGCATATTGAGCCAGAAACTCCCCACAGTTTTTAGGCATGGAGAACAGAAACCAAACCAAGGGCACTGGGGTTAAGAGTAAAGAATAAACTCAGCACCTACGCACTGACCCTCTTACATTTACTCGTGTCTTCACGTTCTTGATCTCTACACGCTCTATCTTGACTCCCCAGTCACCTGTAACATTGTCCAGCAGGGCCTGGTAAAAACAGTGCACAGAAATGCAGGCTCAGGAGTCATACTGACCAAACACCGTTCTGGGAGAGGAGAAAACAACTTCTGTATCTCCACATTATCTTTTTATAGACTTCTTCTCCATTGCCAACCCCAACAGCTGGGTCCTATTCCTTTCGGCCTTTCTACAAAAACCGTGTCTGCAAGACAAGCTTCTAATGCAGCTCGCCCAACTGAGGTTTGATCTGCCATGGTTCTGAGCCTAAAGCCCAGATGCCCCTGAAACTTTGCCGAGGTGTACCTGGATATCTTTGGCAACTTTGTCTCGCTCGGAGATGATATGACAGAGGCTTTGGGCCCCCAGCGTATTCTTCATAATGGCTTTGGCCAGAAGGTGGGTGGCTGAATCTGCATTTGTGACCTTGGTTACAGCAAGGGGAGCATTCTGAACTCGGTAATAGACCACTCCATCTACATCAATAATCAGGGGATCCTTAGTAAAAATCTGTAGGAGATACAGAAATGGAGGAAGATAACCTTTATTTAATCATCACCTTGCTCTGAGACAGCTTATGAGTAATTTGATTTCAAGGAGAAACATGGTTCCTGTTTTTGGGGAGCCCAGGCTTCATTCTTTGATTGTCTTACAGTTCTCTGTTTTTTCATTTCTGAAGCTACCAGCCCAGATGGGGCTCTGCAGTTTTCCTTTTTTTTCCATCTCTGTCTAAAAACACAACTTTCAACTCTGGTTGTTTTGGCCTGTTGTGCTAATCTTATTTTATTTTATTTATCACATGTGTATAGCCACCCATCTCATGTAGTGACTCCATGGCTTGCTTGAACCCTGGTTCCAGCAAACCAGGGTAGCCTGGTTCATGCATTGTATTAAGTCATAAGCCATGGTTTAGAAGTCACAATGGTCGATTTCATGCAACACGCAAAGTCAGAACCAAACCAGCCACATGACACATTAGCGCGATGCATAGATTCAGCCTTTGTCTTGCTTTCCGTGAGATTGCAACCTTGCCCCAAAAACTAAAAATCAACCTCAAACAGACCTCCAGAGCTTGTGGAAGGATGACCTGCTGCTTATAAAAAGAGATTTAAACATAATTGAACAAAAGAAGAAGAACAAAAGAGAAAGGGGGGGATGACAAAAGGCTTCGTTGGAGGAACTCAGCAGCAGCAAACGTAATCTGCTTAATGATTATTAGATTTCCGGCCAGTTAATCTTGACTCAGCTCTGAAAGAACAATTACTGTCTCTTATGGCAAGTAACAGGCAGTGAATCTGGAAGAAAAGGACTGGATGCAGTACTCCAGCTTTTATTACAAAATCCAGTTTGCTACCCAAAAGTACAGGAGCCTATTAAACCTCCACCACCACCATCATCCCTAGTGGAAAATGAATTATTTTAATTCATTTGATTTATATCTTTTTTACACCCAGCAACTCTGGGTGGTTCACAGATCAAAGTGCACGCAGCTATAAAAGCATACAATGATTAAAAAACATGAACAAAAGATGGCTCTCACCAGACAGCAACGGATTTTCTTATACAACATGGGATCCAAAATCTCTAGCAACTTTTGAAACAAAGGGTGGGCCTCCCTGTGCAGCATGAGGGGCAATTCCCAGGGCTAAATACGAGAGCTTCCCAGAAAGCAAGGGATGGAGGGGGGGGGGAGAGAGAGAGAGAGAGACATGCCTTTGTTGACATCTCTCTAGATGAAGAAAAATGGCAAGCGAGAAGGAAGGGAATGCAGTAGCAAGCAAAAAGATGGATGGGGAGGAAGAGGGCAGCTCTACCAGCACAACAAGCTGGAAATGAGAGGCCGCAAAAGGAGCAGCGGATATTGGAGAATGTTTATGGTTCATTTGTGATGCTGATATCCTGCCTTTCGGAGCCCAAAGCAGCACGAAAAACATCCCTGCTCGACTTTTGAGATAAGGTGGGCTCAGACAAGGCCACGTGGGGAACATCTTGGGGCTGAGAGGAGAGGTGAATCTTCCCAGGTGAAAGGGAGCCCCTGGGGAGGGGGGAGCAAGCTAAAGCAGGGAGCCTTTTGAGACCCGGTGGGCTCACTTTGCAACGTTTGAGAGCTTGTTGTGGGCGTGTTCACAAAATGGTGGCCACGGGGATACGCCCAGTCGCGAAACAGCAACTCGACAGACTGCTCTGTTCTATCTTCTCTATGTGCCCGAGAGATACCTCACTCATGCACTTTTCCCTTGATTTTTCTCCTAGGCCAGTGTTGTCCAAACTTGGCCACTTTAAGATGAGTGGACCTCAACTCCCAGAATTCCCCCGCCAGCATGGCTGGGGGGGGGAATTTGGGGGTTGGGGGGCCATCATCTTTAAAGGGCCCAAGTTTGGCAACCATGGGCCTGGGGGGAAATCAAGGG